CACCTTAGTAGAGGCTGCGAGATATGTAACAAGGAGAGGGGGAAAAAATCTCCAAAACCATTACTCTATATAGAGCTATCTGACAGACCTTGGCAGTGGGTAGCCACAAGATTTATTTTTTTCCATTATTATAGCTGATTAATTCTCCAGATATTTTGACTTAGCTAAACTTACACAGTGTTCCTTGGCACAGGTCATTCAGAAACGAAAGTCAATATCTACACCTCATGGAGTTGCTGTAGTCCGCATATCTGATAATGGGCCTCAATTTACCTCTAAAACATTCCTACATTTTGCATAGGACTTTGATTTTGAACATTGTAGGAAGAATCCACATTGCCCCCAGAGTAACAGGGAGGTGGAAAGAGCAGCCCCTGGGTCTCAACCCCTCCTGGCAGGAGCACTGGGGGAGGGGGAGAACTGCAGATGGAAGGGGTGGGAAGGGGCCCCCACTTGCTCTGGCCCAGAGCCCCAAAAAATCCTAATCCACCTCTGTGACAGGAGATGAGGAACAAAGTTTGGATCAAGAGCTCCCAGACATTTGGAACTGTTCAGAACTTGGTAGAAACTCCCAGATCCTACCAAGTGGAGACTCCAAGAGGACTTCTCCAGAGGAATCAGATTCATCTTCTGTATTTCCCAACACACCAAAGAGAGGATCTGGGGCTTGCAAGTACTCTGTAAGGAATTAAGCCCCCTCCTCAGGGAACTCCATGCACAAACTCCACAGAAGTGATAACACAGTCTGGAAGACTGATCAGACCCCATCAAAGACTTGATCATTAAAATAATGCCCGGGGTTATTTAAATGCAATTGATAAGGGGACATAGGAAAAATAGTTTTAAAAAATTTGAAGTATATTTTGAACTGTTGTATGTATATCATTTAAATTTTAACTTTTCATTATAAAGAAAGGAAGATGTGGAGTGGTTAGGAGTTCCTGGTCTTCCAAGGTCACCAGGGAGAAACAGGATGTGTTGCAGCAGCCACCTTACTAAATGGGAGAACTTCCTGGTTAGGGAGTTCTCTACTTGCTGCTTAAAGTATAGTCTCTGTGTTTATGTCTTCACCAGAGGCAGATTAAGAGTTTTTGTCTCGGGTGAGAGCAAGTGCCCCCCCCCATTCTGCCTGCAGTCCCCCTGGCCACTCCCACCCCCAGGTGCTCCTGCCGGGAAGCGGGGGCGCCTGTTTTTCTGGGGGCCCCCCATTGGCCAGGGCCCCTGGGCACAGGCCCTGTTGGCCCCCTGGCTAATCCATCACTGGTCTTCACACCATAGCACACAATCTGGAAAATGCCAGCACTTTGTGGGTTAACCCTGTGCATTGCACTTGGCCTCTTCAACAAAAAGTGTTGATTGAAAGTGGCAAATTTTAATAATTTTGGAAAAAACTTTATTATAATGACCTCTCATCATTCCTGCAATTTGTGGAGTTAAGTTATCTGAAAAACAGATTTACTGCATTTCTTCATAACGAATAAAAACCTCCGTATTTTTGCAGGTAGTAAGCAAGACAACATTTTTCCCTATTCCAGTTTAATGTATAGTATTTTGCAAAAATTTTAAGGCATAAATATATATTGAGTCAGATCCTCAGCTGGTATAAATTGCTGAACATCTACTGACTTCAATGAAGCTTTTTTGTCATATATGTATGAAATCTATCTAATCTGTATGAAAAACTACAACGCTAAGGATTTGAACTCAGTATGACAGATATGTGTAGCTGGTAGGAAAAACAGATTTTGCATAACAACCATGAGAATTTATGGATCTTGGCCACATTATCTCCTGCACAGAAATCCACTGAGCACAAAAGAGAAAGAGAGAACACTTCATTTTGTCTTGATTTCTTCTTGTGCCGCTCTGACTTACACCAGCTGGCAACGGTCCCTAAAGGACCGTACATCAGCTGAGAATTGGCAGAACACAGTTCCATTCTAATTCCACTTTGAAGAAGACCCTAAAACCCCTTCCCTCCCTGACATGTCCCCTACAGCAGGATGGGATGAATTGTTGACATGAGAGCTGCTATAAACCAGCTTTACACCGAGAGAGAGCTCCCACTTCCTGGTTTAGCCAGGTCCAAGCGCAGTGGAAAGAGGCCAGAACACAGGATGGAATCTAGCCCACTGCTTTGGCCGCCATATGGAACACATTTTGTTCTACGAGTGCCATTGCAAAAAACAAAAAGACATGTAATAAAAATGGAATATTGCCTAGAGTTCAAACAAAGTGCATTCCTCAGTGCATTCCAAGTTCTATATGTATGAAACAGATGTATTTTTACTGTGTGTTTTGCTTCTTCAACAAAAGACTGGGGAAGAAAAACAATGTACATTTTCGTTATAAAATAAGACACTCATTAAAATGATTTCTCAAAAGTGATGTTAGAATGAGCATAGATCTGAATAAAAATAAAAAAATGATCAGCCTTGCTATTGCAGGTATAGTGCCTGTATTCTCCATCAAGTTCAGGCCTGTAGAGATAGTGTTCTGCTTTTTTAACTTCATTTCAAGTAACTCCCAGTACAACAGAATCCTGTTTACAGCCGAGCACTGAGAGACAAAAGACATTATAATAATAAGCCTGTGTAATTCATTGTTCTGTCTGGGGGCTCTCCTACATTAATATCTTTAAAAGTGACAGCATGTCATTAGCATAATGGCTTGCTCCTCCTCTGTCCAGATAAAGTGCTTTAAAAAAATGGCTACAATATACTAGATGGATTATTTAGCTTTATAGCAAACAGACCAGACTGCAAAATTGCTTCCGTCTTCTTACCAACAGATAACTTGATTCGATAAACAGGAAGTGAGAACTCAGCAAAAAATAATTTTTTTACACTGTTCTGCTTACTTTGAGTTATTAAACTAATGTGAACTGGCTGGCAAATAATAGGATGTGGTAAATTTAGCTATGCTGACAACTTTATGGGAAATAAGCTGGAGAAAGAACTTTTTACCACTAACTCTTCCAAACCAAGAGTCTCAAATGTCACATTAACCTGGGAATTAAGTCAGTAAGTAAATTAGACTAAACTTTTTTCCATAGGCAACAGAAATCCTAATTGCATATTTTTATTATTCAAAACAATGCTACGATATAACAAAAATATATTTATAAATCATGGCACAAGCTAATCACTGCTGAAAAGGCGCAGGAACCTTATATGATGAAGTCAAAGGGGAATTTTGGTTTGCACAAAACAATCAAGAAATAGGCCAAAATGCAAGCATTTTTGTTTATTATTATTTTTAAACCAAAGGCAGAAAAGGCTCTTTGGGACTTGTTTTCACCTTCTAAATTCTGCTGAATTTGCATTTGTTGTATAGTGTAAAGTCAAGGTGGAGTGAATCCCGCAGGCATAGTTTGCAGAAGGAGCATCTGCAGCATGTTCCCCTTCCTGTGGCCTGAAGAAACCCACAATGCTAACTCCACAGAGCTGAGGCTTTAGAAAATCTTTTCAGGGTGCCAGGCTGGGGAAAAAGGGGAGGATGATCCCCCGACAAGGCTGCAGATACCAGTGTGCAATTTATGCTGTTCCATTCTCATAAGAGTCATTATTCAGCTCCAGAGCGAGTGCTGTGATGAAGATGCTGAAACCTAGGCCGCTCATTGCATCTGAGCACAGCTGGATGTCAGGCAAAAGGTGGCACTTCAAGCACTAGAGACACATGCCACTGCGATACTTCAGGAAAACTCTCCATGCTGCCAGATTGCTCCTAGTTTCTAGGTTGACTCTGACATGGTTGCAGGCTAAGAGGCAGAGCTGGTGCTAGCCCACTGGGGGCCCTAAGGAGGAATGTCTTCCCCCCCCCCCACTAAAACAGGCAATTTCTTATAATAAAAAGCAAACAGGGGGACCACTTGAGCTGCTCGGGGCCCTAAGCAATTGCTTAGTCTGCTAATGTCTAGCGCCAGTTCTGCTAAGGGGGACTGTTGTGGCTATGCAGAGCCACCTGCCAAAGGCAGTTATCTAGAGAGCCAATAGTCTTCCAGGAAAAAGCCTGAAGACTCAGTAAAGTCTGAGGTCCCATTATTTTCCTGTACCCACCCAGGTTTGCTATCACAATCTTCAATCAGCCTAATTTTTCCTGAGAGAGGCAATAACCAAACATACACAGGCTCCAGTTCAGCAAGGACTTTAGTATGTAATAAGAATGTGGAAAACTTTAAGCTTGTGGGTAATCCCACTGACTTCTATGCAGGGGGACTTATATTATAAACATAAACACAACTCCTGAGTTTAAATAACAATTACCATTATAACACACAGGTAAGTGAGTTACAAGGCAACACACATGAAGGAATTTGAAGTCATACAGTAATGGAGGGTAATAACAAAAGTGAAGTTTAAGCAGTTCCTCATATGTTTAGAACCTTGGTATGCACATGTTTTATCTATCATTACAACATGGAAATGTGCTGTTATGAAAAGTTCTTGTTGGGTTTTTGCAACATTCTCGTTCTTAGAAATTTAGAAAAAAGGGAGTGTGGGGGAAAAGGGAGCATAACATTTAGATTTTAATATCAACATTACATTTGAAATTTTTGATTCCAAGTAGAGCTGCTTAAGTAATGAAAACACTGATTTGTAAGTAATTTATTCCATGCCTGATGAGGGGAAATGTGTTGAATCTATCACTCACTAATATGATTTGACCAGATCTTCTCAAGATAAAGCCAATATTTGTGGGGGCTGAAGTGGTCATACCAGAGAACTCAGGCAATTGTTTTGTTCACACACAGCCTCCTGCCTGCAGTGGAGCTGTGAACTATTATTCTTTTCTGGTTCATAACAATTGGACATCTAATTCACCTTATTTCCTTTTTCTGTCTGTTCTCCTTTCTGTTCCTCTCTTGTCATCCTAAAATCAGAATAAGTGTCCATATCACACTATAAATAGGGACAGATTCTCCTTTCACACTGGCATAAGTTAATAAAGCAAGAACTCATTTTATAACACACAAGGATAATGGCAGACAATCCTTTTACCTTTTGAAGCATTGCATTGCCTTGGTGAGCATTAATGTTGTGTTGGCTGATTTCTCTTTTGTACTGATATTCATATACTTGGTTTGTTATATTAACAAGTAGGGTGGGTGGGCCAAACTTCAGCTTCTCACAAGGAAAGACAGTTCCACTTTCAAAGTCTGTTGGTGTTGTTGCATATCGTATAATTAATCCCATTAGGAGACCTAGAAACATAAGAGGTTAAAATACTGTAAGTGTCTGATACAGCATTGGTTATAGACATGGAGAAGAAAAGTATGGTGGTGCCCCTTCACCAACAGCACCACCGAGGTGCACTACAGTCAGTATTGTGTGGATGAATATGGAACACTGAAGAACATGGCCAGTACTGGATGAATACAGGAGTGGACATGAGGGTTTTACATGCACTTGGAACAGATCATACTTCTGTGATCCAGGTATTGGGGTCATTCTGATGTTTTTACTAACCATGTTACTCAGCTATTGCATGCCTAATAAGGTATGTGTGGTAAGTACGTATTTAGAGTGGGAGGATGCTTTTGTGGCTAAAACACTGTACTGGAAGTCAAGAGATAATGTTCTTATCGCAGCAACTCTGAAGACTTCCTGTGTTAAAGTTATGTTGGGCAAGTCGTTTCTCACTCTAACACATTCTACATATTGTAAGGAACTATGCAGTTATGGTGCTATATAAATAATGAACAATAAAAATGGAAAGAAAGGAAAGAAGGATGCTGTTGTGGTTAAGACACAGAGACTTGGATTTAGTTCCTGGCTATGTCTACACTGCAGCTGGGGATGTATGTTTATACTGCAGTTTGCATAGATATGCCTGTGCTAGCTGTACTCTAGCTACCTTGCTAAAAATAGCAGTAAAGATATGGCAGCACAGGCTTCAGTATGGGCTGCACAAGCAAGCACATGCTTAGGGGAATCAGGCGGACTTGTGCAGCCATGTCCTCACTACTATTTCTTAGCGAGCTAGCTAGGTTAGGCATACCCACCTGGGAGTTAAACAAGCTGCAAATCACACCCCCAGCTGCAGTGTAGCTATGCTGCTGACCTCCTGTGGGACTTTGGACAAGTCACCAACAGTGTCCCTCAGATGGAGAAAATAATACTTCCCAATTTGCCATGGGTGCTGTGAGGATTGTTGATAATCAAGGAGTTCATTTTATTTATTGATAAGATGTCAGATACCTTCACTCAATTGGTTTATTGAACATAGAGAAATTAGCACAGACAGAAAAGGGTTAATACTTTACATGATCCTGGGAAGTAGTTCCTCCAGCAGTTTTCAGCATGTTTGCTCCAAAGTGTGTGCTTAATTCAGCTCATATTTAGGCTGTGTCTACACTTAAACTGCTACAGCAGTGCAGCTGCGCCACTTTAGCGCTTCAGTATAGACACTCACTACAGCAATGGGAGGGGCTCTTACTTTAGTTAGTTAATTTCTCCCTCCCCCAAGAGGTGGTAGGTAGTTCAATGGCAGAATTTTTCTGTCGCCCTAGCACTGTCTACACTGGGGGTTAGCTTGGCTTAACTACATTGCACCCCTGAGTGATGTAGCTGGGTCTGCTTAACTTTCTAGTGTAGATCTGGGCTTATATGTCCCTTATTTATGACAGCAAAAAGACTAATGCCTCTCACTTCCTTTTCCTTATCTGGTTTTTATTTGTCAGGTTATATGACATCTGTGCCAACTACAAACAATATTATTCAAAATGTTAATAAATCATAGAGTACAAATAATATTAGGCCATGAAAACCTACCATAAGTGTTCCCAGCACACAGTTCCTACTAGGCAAAGCTTAGACATCATGCTTTTGACCAATCAATGGAGCATACATCTTGCTTTTGGCAAATAAACAGAACATACAAGGCACAAAACCAACAATTTAACTACGAATAAAACCTTAAAAGTAGACTATAAAACCTAATCTTGAAACTAAAATATTCCAAGATACACATTTAGCATAAGTACAAAAGTATGCTGGGAATTTTTGGTTCTTAGCTTAGCATGTCTTCTGGTTCATTCTATAATATTGACTAATAGTATAGATCCATAAATACTTGGGAAATATTCAGATACAACGGTGATGAAGGCCATTAAGTATCTAGATTTTTTTTTAGAGCCCTTTGGAAAATATGAAGGAAATTTAACCATAGAAAGTAACTCAGAGGAGTCAGAAAATTTAGAGCTAATACTGAAGTTTCATTCAGTAACCAAATACTATGGTGAGGAGAGTGGTATAAATGCCTAGACAGACAGACAGATGGAACAATCTTGTTGTTGGCCAATTTTGCAGAGGTCTCTGAACAGTGGTTGCCTCTAGCATATCAGATTAGATGTAATATTTTAGCTTGATGGAGTAAGGCAAAGATGGTGTAATAGCAATAATGCTGACTATACTTTTAAGGAGGGATGTTTTCTTTAAATCCCTCAGGATTCACACTGCCAACTAAGAGTCCAAAGGTTGCTTCCTGAGGTCGTATGAAATGTGCATAATAAATCAGATAATAAATCTAGCTGTAGTAAGAGGTAGCATATAGACTTCCTGAAAATTCTTGGGGGAAGGAAAGCAGGCACTAAACGTTCCAATGCAAAATATTAATACCATGATGGCCAACCCCAAGAGTTCAAAAGTCAAGAGTCAGACCTCAGGAAGCCATGAGAATGAATTGGTTAAAACAGTTTGGGGTTTTCAGTCTGACTTCAGATTATTTAACCTTTAGGGGGAACTGCCTATCTCACAAGGTATTATTACAGGTTGAAAATTCAACCTTAAATGCACATGCAAAAATGTGGACCTTCCCACTGGGTGGTTGGAAAGGATGCCACTCACCCTCTCTCAGACCCTTGAGTGGGAGAACGATCATCCTTTCCTCTCCAGCTCTCTTTCCCTCTGTCCCAAGCTCTCAGACCCTTCTCTCAATCCCCAGACCCTATCTGCCATCAGTCAGCCCTTCTTGTGCATTCTCTTTCCCTTCCCCTTCAGTCTTCTGCCATGCCACATTCTCCCTTCCTTTCCACCCACCAAAGTCTACCTGAATGACCCTCATTTCCTGTCCCCATAGTGGGCTTGCCTGCTCCCTCACCCTCCTTTCCTACCCCTCTAAATTCTGCTGTCATCCCATATTCACCTACTCCCTAACTGTCCTTCAATATTAATTTACTCCATACAGTGTTCTTGCTAAGCTTCAAAATTCCCTTGACCCCATATTAACCCACTATCCCCCTATCCTGCTCTGCTCTTCGCCATTCCATACCTGCCTAGTCTCCCCACACTATTTCTCCCTGATTTCTGACAGCATGTAGGGCAGCCATCTTCCTTGAGTCAACCAGGACTCTCTCCTACTGAAACAATGGGAGATAGTGGCCAACTTTAATAGGAGCTATCTCACTATCACCTGCAAAAATAGTAGGGAAATGGCAGCCATTTTAATTGAGGGGATCGGCCTGTGACTCTTGGATGGCAGTCATGTTTTACCTACATAGCCTCTGTGCTACCATTGAATAGATCACTGCTTCATAAAACACTTTGAGAAACCTAGTATATGTTCTATACATAAAACCAAGTTCTGGTTACTGTTTTAAATAAATATATGGGACTGTCAGGGAAGTCCAGGATTAGACTACCTGCAACAGACGCCTATAAGGGAGAATGAGCCAACTCAGATCCACCTAGAAGTAACTGAATCCCTAATCAGTTAGTTAGCTGTGTTACTAGGCCTTAGGTGGGGGGGGATCATATAGACAGGAAGCTCCTGAGGAGAGGAGCTCCCAGGACAGCTCACCAAAGGAGGAGCCTGGCAGACATGCTTCTAGGGACAGGGAACTCCTAATCAATGGCAGGAAGCCCAGCCTCTCAGGAACTACATACAGGCTGTCCCAGAGAAGAGCTGCAGTTGGCAGATCTCTGCAGGCCCTGGCTCCAGGGAAACCTCCTCCTCAGGCAGTGGCAAGAGACCTAACTCCAGGGAAGGGACCAGAGCCAAGAGAACCCTGTTGGAGGGGAGTAGGAGACCAGGAAGAACGCATAAATTGAGACTGACTCTGTTTCCCATCCAAGATGTTGTGGTGAAGGTTTGCTTGTATTTTCATTGGGCCTTTGATTAAAAAACTAGACCACTCAGAAGGGTCATTGTTCCCTACATAAAGCCACATTTAACTTATTAACGGCACATTTTGGGAAACTGAGACATGGTCAAATTGTGTTCTCTGTTATACTAGTGAAAGTTCATTAATTTGGCTTCTGGTTTATATTATTTCAAACAGCAGTGGCAAGTTTAAGATGGGAAGCTACAAAGGCAACTCTTATTCTGTGTCCTGGCAAGATATGATATCTTCAACAGTAGTCACAAAGAGTCTTCTGTGAGTTTTCTCTGGTGGGACAGATAATATTCAGAATGGTTAGTCTGGCATTTCACTGAACTTTTCCAAAGAAGTCACACAGTCCTGCAAACACTTAGGTATCTGAATATATTCATATATGTAAAGCTGATCAATATGTGTTTGCAGGAATGGTGCTTTTTAAGGTCTTAAAAAATTATCGTCAAGCTTGCTGTAAGGAAATAAAAATCAACATTTGACAAAGACAACTAGAATTCAAGCTTGTGTTGCTTCTTTCTCCTAGTGTGGATCCTATCCTCAGATACAATATAGGTCAGGGTAGCATACCGGATGTTTAAAGGTATTGTCAATGGTTTTAGAGTACAAATAAAATAGGCAATTTTGTGTGAGTATCAATAGACATACAGGGATGGCTAACATTAAGTACAGCAGATGTTGACAATCAATATTCTTAGAGCATTAATGGAGCTTTTGAGTCTCTTGAGTTCTCAGAGGAACGTTGTGATGTTTTAAATTTGAAGTATAGATGGATTCAAATCCCTAGAGTCAGAAAATTAATGAAAGCTCCATAGAAGGATCTATAAGAGACAATTGCTGTATCTCTTCAATGTTTCTGGAGACCACTTAACTATTGCAGTCATATTATTCCTTAAGAAATAAAGCATTTACCATAGGTCTGATTTAACAATATACAGAATATAAAACCTCAGGAAAAATAAATATTTTAAAGTTTGTGCATCATCATCAATTCACATACATTTCTGCTTTGTATAAAATATTTAATATTTCTAATATAGCTGTACTCTGAGGCCCTAGTCCAGATTCTAATTAAAATCATCCCCTTTTTT